CTGTGCTTGGGTTATTGTTTCAAGGTACACCTGGAAGTGCGCGAATGCATGGATGTGTATTAGCTCCTTTAAGCTGTGACGATCTGTAACATTATCAGACTCATGTAGCGTGTGCGTGTGTGTGTGTGTGTGTGCGCAAAAGAGACCCTGCCATGACCATTGACCCTAAATGCCTACTGAAAAAAGCACATGTGAGCATAGCTAAAGTGCCCAGCCTCACTCTGGTGCTGCGCTGCCATGGTTACTGTATTTATTATTGGTATTTAAAACATGCAGTGTTTGGAGGGGGCGGTGCTTGTGTGTGTCCAATGGTGTTCTTGTGTGACAGGTCTCCCCTCGTGGTTGCTATGCTGGTTGCTATGCTGTATTGCTAGAACTACAATGTAGAATGTCGTGTGATAGAGGACCATCCGCCAACAGCACACAAGCAGGTCGAGACGGATGAGCGTGACGCCGGAATTATTCGTATTTGGCCCGAAACATACGCAGGTAGTTTTCTGTTTCAGCTCAAATTTCATGAATCTTGCTGAGTTAAGTTAAAGTTGACATGTTTACAGCTAGCTACACAAACAATAGCACATCCGGTTTAATGGTGCAGAAGTTTGAACACTGGCGCCCTCTTGAGCACTGAAGTTTGCAAAAACGCACATTATGCAATGCGTATGTTTCTGGCGTTAGTTGTTTATAGGATTAATCACTTTAGTTGTTTTTAAGTTTAATTTGAACAACTTGCAACAAGGATATTATTTTTATATGGATAGTTTTTTTCCCCAAAATGTCTGGTTCAATTTTGCTTTATGTAAATTTGGCAATTTCTCTCACGGTCTGTTTCAGGGTGTGTTTAAAATCTAGCAATCTACCCTATATAAGCAGTTAACTATGTAAGCTTGTTTCCACTATGGTAAAAAATATATATATATATTAATTGCGACTTTTTATCTCATAATTCAGACATTTTTCAGAGAACTCTGAGAAAAAAAACTTGCGGGAAATGAAGTCAAAATTGTGAGAAAAAAGTGCTACTTGTTTTATTATTTATTGCTTGCAGAAGCAAACAAAAAAATGTAAACAGAGATGTAAACTCAGAATTCAGAGAAAAAAAGTCAGAATTGCAATATATAAACTCGGAATTGTGAGACAAAATCATAAATTATATGATTTTGCCCGCATTCTCCACCAATTTTCTAATACAAAATGCATTCTGAGATTGCCTTCTCTATAAAGCATACTTTTTATTTTTTGTTCAATTTTGCTTCATTGTGATCCAAAAGTCAATTTTAAAGACCATTTTAGTTCAAAACAAAGCTGTATTCGTTTCAGCCAATGAGCTGCATTTTTGCCTGCGCGTTGGCTCCTCCCCCCAGTGTTCTGTGTGCTGATTGGCGGATGATGGCTTGTGTTGATTGTTTACACAGGGTTATGTCCGTTGAAATGCCTTAAGTATTTAACAATCATAATTTATTACTAACTGTAGATATCGTGGGTACGTATTTAATTTTGTATAGTTTAATTTTTTTGCAATGGAATCATATTTTATTTATTTAGAAATAACACAAAATGATTAAAACTCTTACCTCATGTTTGAGTTGGTTTGCGGGAATGCTTCGCATGCGGTTGGTGTTCGTGTGTGTTTCTCCCTTTGGTGCTGTGTCCTTACTGACATTCCGCTTGCTGATTGGTCAGACACGGCAGCAGAGTGGGAGTATTATGGGTTTTGATTCGCTGTCCTGTTTGCACTCTTAGTTTTCCAAGGCCACCCTCTCACTGGCATCGTTTTTACCACTCTGGCGACCTTTGCAACACAATCTTTCTCTCTTTCTCTACTCTTCTCTCTGGAAGTCTTTCTTAGATTGTTAATGTTTACATAATCTTTTCCTCTCTCGTCTCATGTCTGTCTACAGTCTGTCTTTCTCTGTTTAACAGTTTTATTCTTGTTAATGTTTACATCCTCTACTTGCTTTCTCTTTTCTCATGCTTTTTTCCTTTAGCAGTCTTAAATTATTAATGTTTACATTCTCTCACTTTCTAAGGGTGTGTTCGAAATCTAGTGAGCTGCCCTACATAGGTAGTTACCTTCTAAGGCAGCATACTAACTGAAAGAAACCTTTTAAGTGACTGATTTCAAACAAAGTACATTGACAGCAACAAATATACAAACTGCACAAGAGATCCGACGTCTAAAACACTGGGGGGGGGGATGGGTGTAGAAATTATTTTCACAAGGGAAAGAAACCGCAAGTGGCACATTGAATTAAACATGAAATATTTAAGGAAACTGGAGTATTCTTTTGTTGTAAAGCATACTTAAATGTAAGTAATGTAAAGGATCAATAATATGCATTATTTATAACTACTTTTTTTTTTTTTTTTACAGTGTAGTGTTTCATATTAGCATATTGCTAAGCTAACAAAGTACTATGCTTAATATGTAGCATGCACACATATTGGTTAAAATGGTCCACTGTTTTATCAATATATTTGGGCACTGAATGGATTAGTTATGATTTGCCCGCATTCTCCGCCAGCTTTTGTGACAGAGCTTGTCGCAATGCATTCTGGGATTGACGTCTCTGTTAAATATATATGTAATTTTAGTCACTGCATAGGGCACTGCATATGCTGTTGTCTAGTCTAAGTAGGAGGCTCACTAGACTTTGGAACAAGCTCTTTTTTTTTCTCAATCTCGCATTCTTTGTGCCTATTTCGGTTTCATCTGTTATTGTCAATCAGCGCTTTCAGACTGTCTCCAGGGCATGTGAATCCTCTTTCGTCCTAGTTTATTTTGCCAGTCTCTCTCTATCTCTCTCTCTTCCTTTCTTTCTCTTTCTCCCTGTCTCATGGCAGGGTCAGGACTAACAGAGTATGATAAAGCACAACAGATTTAAAATGCATGTTTTTCTCAGGTTTGAATATATACATGACTAAATAGAAATATACAGCTACATAGAGAAAATAAAGACTGCAGATGTTCTACTAATGATATTAGAAGATTGATTTTTGCTGCTGCTTGCATTTGAAAAACAAACAAAACAAAAAAAAAGACATTAATAATAATAATGTTGTCCTAAAAGTGCCAGTGACAGGGGTGCCGCGTGCTGTGGGTGTTTTTTCACTAGCGAATTTTCTAGCAGAATATAGACTATTTATCATTCATATTAAAGCAATAGCGCCTCCTGCTGGTGTGACTGCTAGTATGTGACTGGTCAAGTACAAAAATTGTGTAAAATGTTAGAATTCTCTTTTGGTGGAATTTTTGTACCTTATTTATTACTACTACTAATGATGAATTTAAAAGTGGCATCGCTAAAATGTTTTTGGTTTCGTTTTCATTTTGTTTAATTTCAAAGCTTGTACATTATCCTTTTTGTATGTGATCATTTTGTAATAAAAATGTTGAAATGTTTAAATGCCTGTTTGGTCTGAATTTTTGCACAAGCACATCTTTCTGTATCAAACATTCATTGGAAAATCCAGCTGAAACATGGTGGCATCTGGTTTTATGTGGTTTCTGGCTGGTCCAAGCTAATATAGATGACATGCACAAAATTGGACGCTTTGTACAAGCTAATTTGTAATATGCATATTAGTTTAATTTAATAGAATTGTAAATTACTCAATATGTTGAGGGATCAGTATATCCATTTTAACACTAGAGGGCCAAACAGACGGTTTTAAATGCCTATAATGAGACCATATATGCAAAAATCAAATACAAACAACATTTTAATATACACCCCTTCATATCATCATCTTTGGCATTTATTTGTGAATATATTGAGTAAGAGAGACGAGAGAGTGTTTCTATTGCCTGTAATATGCTCATTTATTTTTAATAATTTATGCAATGCATTACATTGTTAACAAAGCAATAAATAATTCACTCTCACTTTTTCTAGCACTTCTAACACCGTTGTAGTTATGACACAGATTAATCATCATCAGAGTCCGTGTGAAATTACGTTTGCAACCCGAATTAAAATTGTTTTAATGTTTTTGAAAAAAAAAATTCTAAAAGAAAAAAATTCTAATATGCTGATTTGCTGCTCAAGAAAGTACAAAAGAACAGCGATAATTTGTAATAGAATTCATTTGTGATGTCTTTACGGTCACTTTTGATTAATTTAATGCATCCTTGCTAAAATACGCATTAATCTCTTACCCCAACTTGCCTCTTAAATTTGATATGTTGACTTTAAGGCCTTTTAGAGTAACAGAAACACTATATGCTCTAAATAATACAACAGTTGAATTATAATACTTCGCATATTTTGATAAACTGAATATTTACAATAATTTATACACATAACTATCCCCATCCGTTCTAGCCCTGTGATTTGTCATTATTCAGAAAAGAAAGTTGATCCAGGTATGTCATTGCTTTGCACACTACCAAACTGTAATAAGTCTCCAGCATGCCACAGCCCCTCCCCTTCCCCGCCCCTAAATCCCGCCAGGCCACGCCCATCATCCCCACCCCCATCCCAGCAGAGCTGAATAGGAAGTTGTAGCAGCAGGGGTTATAGCGGATGTGTCGGTTGCCAGAAAACCGAGCGCTGTGAGTGGCCACCACACCTGCCCGTCTTGCACACAGGCCAATCAGGACGTCGGAGGGGAGGGGCAACGATACATCCTCAGCGGCGACGTAAACTTTTCTCACAACGTCTTGAGACAGAAGAAAGGCGGGGCCAGAGCAGTAGTCTGGAAGGTACTTCTCAGGGTACACCTGATAGGGCAGGTAATGCGGTTTGTCGGGGTCCCGCTCAGGTGCGGCCCGATGGATGACCCTGCCTAGGTAAAGGTCATCAGGGTGCGTTCTCAGTCCTAGCAGGTATGATGTAAGCGCAGGAAGGTTTAAATACACAGAATCCTCAGAAAGGACGATAAATCGGGCTTGTGGACAAAAAAGTAGGATCCATCGAAGTGCCATTTTAACTTGTTCCCAATGTCCTCTCTGCCAGTTGCCCCTTGAAACGCCTCCTTCGAACTGCACAATGTCACCGTAGCGTGCAGACTCCTCCCTCATCATCTCAAGCTCCGCACCTAAATGGGAGGAGCCAAGGAAAAACAAAGTCCGCACGGCAACACTGTGCACCGACGTCTGATTGGCCCAGGAGTTTCGCACCGCTTCCCTCTGGCTCGAGTTTCCTGGGGTACTCAGGACCAGTGTGAGGATGAGGAGGTCCTGATGATGTAGGCAGGGTTCGCTGTTAATGGGGTAGAGCTGTGAGGTGTTGAGCCTGGTCTCAGTCAGGTCCAGTTTACGTGCACGCTCCCGGACCTCCAGGACAAAGCGGTCGGTGTAAGCGGCGGGAGACGACTGCAGGAGAAACTCTTCCACTATGTCGCCGCCAAACAGCAGCGCGTGAAACAAGATGACGTTGCACAACAGGAAGCACCATTGATGAGTCTGCAGCTGGAACACACAGATCTGAGAGAGGGGAACAAGAAATGTCACCAAATTATAGCAACAAGATTTTTGCATTCTCTGAAGAATATGCAAGTGGTGTTTGCTAATAGCAATCCATGCTAGGGTTGTTATCCCGTTGCTAAGGTGTACTAAGTAGTTTTTACAGTTAAAAGCCATAAAAAAAACAAAACATTTTTATTACTTGAAATAAGATACGTTGAATTTAAATAAATTAAAATATAAAAAATTGAACTTGCTTTATTTCAGCTAGTTGCCAAGGCAACATTTCTTTTTTAAAATTTACTTTAACTTTAAGTACGAAAATAACGCAAACTAGGTGAAGTAAAACAAATAAATAAACAATAGATATGTTTTTTTAAATAATAATAACAATGACAAAAACATACAACAAAATTACTCAAATATTTAGTCAAATTAAACTGAAAAGAGAATATAAAAATAACATCTAATAACATCTAATTCAAAGTATTAACAAAAACCTACAATAATATATAAATTATACTAAAATTACACCGCTAGGGATTGTTTGGGTGGTTGCTAGATGGTTTTAGATTAATACCAGTTTTTCAGTACATTTATTTTATCTCTATATTTATTTTATAGTATTTTTATTTTAGTTTAATTTTTTAGGGCTATAAGTGGTAACGCATGATAAAATTGCTATGATTTAAATATGTTTTAACAACATTTACATTTCACAAGGCTTTCTTGCTATTTTGGTATGTAGTGACATTTCAAAGTTTAATCAAGGCAATTATAAACCCTTAATGTTCATAAATTTAGAAATTCATTTTTATTTTATTTTAGTTACTTTTAAGGTTCAAAAATATTTTCATTCTTCCAATTACGTTATTTTTTATTTTCATTTAACAAAAAGTGTTTGTTTTATCTTTATTATTAGTTGCCACTAAAAAGTATGACCATCACTGATACAATCAGTTGCAATGCAGTTGCTTTTTTTTTTTTTCAAAATCAAATACACATACTGATAAATCTCTGCTAAAAGGACCATGCAGCATAAAAACGGTTTATTCTGGTTTTGTGCTTAGCTGGCGAACCAGCATTGGCAAGGAAAATCTAGTAGGTTAATCAGCATGATTTCTGATGCTGTAGACCAAGGAAGTCTTGCTGGTTCTGCTAGTTAAGCAGTTAACCACCTATCCAAAACAGACATAAGCTGGATATAAAGACAGGGGCCAGATGCATAAACTGATTAGACTAGTCTTAAAAGTTAGTCACCTAACTTGTTTCTGCAAGACTGGTAATAACTTTTTAAAACCAGTTACATAAAAATGTATATTGGTCTAATTTAAATCCGAAAATTAAGGCTACTTAGTCAAACTAGTTCTTAAGACAACGTCTTAACATGGTGACTATGTTAATGCAACTGGCCCCAGAATATTCTACGATAGGACATTAGCACTAATGGAGAGGAAGGATGATAGAAACTGAGGACAAATATTTACTTATACCTTCATGATGTCCCTTTAGGCTGTCTTTCTTTCTTTCCTTCTTTCTTTCTAAATCAGTTTGAATTCCTATTCAGTTTTCTGGCGCATGAACCAGTGCGTGCTGCTCACCTGGACGTTGTTTCTGCAGTAAGCTGACACTGGGCAGGTAATGGTAACCTAACACAGCTCCGTCTCCACTGGGCAAAGATGTCCAGCTTCACCTACAGTAATAATGGATGATGTCAGGATACATTACTCAAGAGCAACTCACACACAGGCTGTTCCTAGACTGCTTATATTTCCCTCGGCCCATATCATAACTACCGTTATGTTCTGATCTAAGAACATTTGAAAGTAACGAGTCGTAGAAATTTCAGATATACAAAATAAATGCCATTTTACATACTATTGGGACTATATAGTAGATTTGTTTATAGTATTACCAGTGGATTTTCTGAAAAGTGTGCTTTCGTGCTTGCACTTTACAATAAGGTTTAATTATTCAGCTTTTTAGAGGAAACAGCCTAACATAAACACAACAAAATCATGTTGTTTTTATCATATTTAGTTTTAGTTTTTTTTATTATTAATTTTAGTTTATTTCCCTTTTTACAACCAGGGAAGTAATGAAAATTCATTAAAAAAAAACGAATAAAAAAAAAACAAAATAACTACAACTAAACTAAAATTTACATGAAAACATTCATTCAAAATTGCTAAATCAAAATATTAGCAAAAACTATAGTAGTATATCAGTGTTACCAAAATAACACTGTTCCAGAGCACCATGTAAAAATAAAGACTAGGCCTGTCATAAAGCGTGTGATGTAATTTATGTGTTTGTGTGACAGTGAGTGTGTTATGGTTTGTTCCTAGTGTGAACATTTGTCTTCTGTAAGAATGAAAGACATGTGTGTGATGATTCACATGTCAGAAGAAGAGCTATTTTCCCTCCTCTACGATAACATTTACATGTTGTGCATCATTCACTGTCAGCACTAACCTGCAGTGCATACCTACATATCACACAAACAATCCCCCCCCGTCAGTCACACACACAAATAAACCTCAAGATGAGTGAGGCTCTGTCTCGTACATGATGTACTGCAGAGAACAAGAGAATAAAGACAATCAGTGGCACACAGTTTGACAGCAGGAAAAGAGCAACATAATGACATCAGAGAAGTGAGTACATTCATGACAGAGAGACATATATGAAAAAGATTCTAGTGAAACACATAAATATAATGCATTGGAAACAGTCTCAAACAGTCATTTTATGTTCTATGGATTCAAATGAGAAAGTGTGACTGCAGGGCTCTCATTTTTTTAAGGTTTGTGTGGTTTAGATGTATCAGGAGGATTGTTAGCAGTAATTGTGGCTGATATTAATCATTTCATGAAGGCACATTGCCATTAC